CTGGGATCCAGTGAGTATCAACGAACAGATATAACGAGACGAGGATCGACCGACCTTTCCATGCTCTTTCAATACACCAGGGGCAATTTCTGACACCTGTTTGACAAGCCGGATGACCGCACTGGAGCTCAACTCCGGTCTCGCGTCGCAGAATTGTTGAAGGGCGATAAAGCGAGGGTCTGGACTACGGAGAACACCATGGCCGTAACCTGGAACAACCTGTCCTGAATTCAAAGTTGACCACAAGTACTCCTTGATCTTCTCAGGTGACGCATTATCACCTACTGTCTTTTGCATGGCAAGAATCCATCTCAAGACTTCTTGATTGGCAAGTCTAAGTTGTGTGGCGTCAACGCACACTCCCACAATGTCACTCATGATACGTACCCATGAAGAGGACCGGCCAATCCAAACAAAGCTGCGGAATATGATAGATAAGGGTCGCTGAGTGCAGATCCGACCAAGTCTGAAGGAAACATGAATATAAAGTATAAAACGACATGTCAGATACTAACGTGCTGTGTGAGCAGAAACATTGCCTCCCTCGTGGTCACCTATACGGATATGAGAACAGAATGATGGTATGGATGGTGCATACCGTGAAGGGCGATGTACAATCTCAGGTACTCCGTCAGACTATCGTTCCCACCCAGTCCCAATTGCTCCACGTAGTTACCTGGAAAGGATTGGCCTTCGAAAACAATATTTTACGAAGGAGTCTTACCAACGAGATCCAACTTTGGGTTCACAGCTAATGAATATGCACCGTCGGAAGAACCGGCCTTTCCAGGATTTTTTATGTTATAATATATCCTAGCTGCAATACTTGGCAATTTGGCGATGAGGTCGAGCGAATCCTCCAAGACATAGGTCCAGTATTCAGTTTTTTTGATTCCTCTCTCGTACGCTGCAGCAAACTTGCTGTTCATGTTAAGGGACGCGACAGCTATACCAAATTGGGTCATAGGGTGCATTGATGGGTCGAGCCTGTAGAGTGTGATTTTTGGGTCAATACAACGGATCCCGTGACGGCTCGGAACATGTTAATCGACCCACCCGTCGATGAGCTTGACGGTTTTGTCATCCAATGTTCCGTTTTCTGCGAATTCCTTCGACAGAGCGCGAACTTGTGCTTCTGAAGGAATCTTCCCTGTTAACAAAAGCCAGAGCATGCTCTCTGGGATGATCTCCTTCCCTCCTTGTGCAGGAGCTAAGACCTTCTGACAATCCGGAATAGTATGTCCATGGAATCTGATTCCCTGAATTTCAGTGAGCAAGCACAATGATAGGCTACAGAAGAGGCTTTACTTCGTTGGGGTCGAGGACTGATGCCTCCCACAACATGGCTTTGAGTCCACGCATACCACCGATGATATTTTCGACCTAATAAACACAAATGAAGTGAACTAAACATTGTAGCTTCCAACAGACCCACCTTAACATCCCCAAGCACTGCTTGACCATGTTCGGCTCGCTGAATGCAAAATTGAAAAGATTTCTACCAACTTGTTGGATACATACCAGTTGCTTTAATTGATTTTGCTTTTCTGGAATGACCTCAGCTAACGTCTCCCTCAGAGACTTCAATGTAGACTATGTTAGATTTATGCCTGATAGTCAAACCGTTAACTTACTTTGGCATTGGTGGATGCATATCTTGTGAATGGAACCAGAGTTTTGCTGGCGCGGGGAGTGGTTCGAGCAGCTAGTCGTAGCATTGAATGCGGTTGGTTGTGGTAGAAATCCAAGGTGGTCGGCTGGAGCAAATGGCAATGGGCATGTGGTGGACGTCACCCCATTAATTGAATAAAAATTGTGGGTATTGTTTTAGAGAAAATTTTGTTATTTGTTTACTAGCTGTGTCGTCAATTCCGACAGGGCAAGTAACGCTGGTGGAGACAAAGCAAACTAATACTTGTCTTCCTGCCAGCGAGGCTAAATCTTGCCAGCTAGCTGGTCACTCACAAAACACAAAATGACATCAGTACTGGTGCCTGCAGCATATCTAGCTGTTCTCGTCGTCGCTCTACTTGTCTTTGGTCGGATTTATAGGAAACGGGTCGCTGGTACGGGTGTTGACAGACTTGTAGGAGTGTTTATGCTGACATACATATAGCATCACGTCGCTTAGAGCCTTGGTTCCCTTCACATCCTGAACGGGATGTATATGTGTCACTGCTTCAATGCGACCCACCAGCTCATGACGGACTGATCAAGGCAGCCCTTGTGAGGCGAGCTGTCGCAGATGTCCACCGTATCTTTCGCCTGCGTGAAGATAAAGGTGCTCTATCGAACCTCTTACAAAGAGGTTCAATTGGCGATGACCTATGGACAAGTTTCCTCGCTGCAGAGAAAGAGCTCGAGGCCGAAATTTTGGAAGTCGTAACAGAAGCCGAAACCTTCAAGCAAGGCTGGGGGAATCTCATCTTCCAAACTGCAGCGGAAATCGTGCAGAACGAAAAATTGAGAGAAGGAATGAATAAGGTTTTCCACAGCAGGCCACGATTGGGTAAGTTTATTGCGTTGGCATGTCGAAACTCATGACTGAAGTAAATCTAACCATGTTGTAGAGGCGAAATACGGCGTGACCAAACGCATAATACCTAGTATCCAGATCAATCCCAACCCTCCCCCTGCGAACGGACCCACACCAGCTACACCCACGTCAACCGTCTCAGCCAAAGTATTACAACAAGCATTACCTACACCGGCAACACCAGTAACGCCAATGACACCTGAAGATGCATCTACTCCATCCACTCCTGCTTCTCCTGTGAGTAATCGTCTTTCCTAATCTTCCGAGTCCTTCAGCTCATCAACATTACAGTCGGGTGGCAAAAAGGGCAAGAAACGACGATAGGTCCTCCCTAATGTTATTTATCATGTATGGCACGGTGAAATGCGTCCATAATATCTCCTCTATTTATCCATACAGTAAATACCACTGTGATTCCTGTTGTAAGATTGTTTGCCGAAGGAAGGCGCTCAGTTTGACCTCTCGACTCTGCCACTCCAGTTCCGGCCGATGGCTCCTCTCACTCATCCCTCGATCAAAGG